TGGAGCTGGGCTGTCTCCAGCACACCAGTCCTTAAAATGAAATCATCTTGATGAGCATCTGCTTTTCTACAATATCTGAAAACTTTCAGACAGCATATAACATTGAAATGTCAAAGTTGGAAGTCCAGGAGGAGCAGGCTGCTGAAGGATACACAGCTGCAAAACTGCCCAGCTGTCAAATAAGGGCCAAAGTTTTCTTAGGGATTACTTTTTCTAAATGATTTTAATCATGATCACAGAGATTTCAATAAATAAATAAATATACTAACCACTAGCTTTGGTTAGCATTGCGGCTAGGCAATATTATGGTGACGAAGAAAGTATGTAAGCATGTAGTACGCAGTAAGTTAAATCTAGTCTGGAATGAGTTGCCTGCAGAACTGGAAGCAGGATAGTTACACGAGTATGGCGGTGAGCCCAGACTAATTAACCCTGCTGAGAACATGTTAACATGGCTATTTCGCTTCCGGGATCCTAGCTAATATTGCTGACTGGTAAAGCATTACACTATGTGGATAACTCCAATGTTTTGTGGAGAGAGATCAATTATCTACACAATGATGCATTACATGATATAGAAGTACAAAGAATGTTAATGACCCAGTTACTTCCAGTCACAGTAAAGGCATGGCTAGACTATTTCCAGTACAAAAAAAAAAAAAAAAACCACCCCCCAGCTTTTGCACGCCAGCAGTCCCACATCAGAGCCCACTGGAGACCCTGTACTCAGGCAAGGGGTGGAATAGCTCCCTGCTGCCACTCCAGGAATACAAATTGCCTTAAACACCAGACAGGAGGCAAGGTCATGGCCTTGAACTCTGCTCGTGTTCATGGCTTTGGAAATAAATCACATTACCCTAAGGTGGAATGCAGGGTGTGTCCCGCACTCTCAACTCAGGAGTGCTTAAAATGATTACATTCCAGTGCCTTTAGAAAGTACATTTTAACCTAGAGGGCTGTGCCTAATTAGTATATTCTCATCCCCAGGTACAGCTGGGTATATATTAGGGTGGAATGGCATAACAGCCACCAAACCCGACCCCCTCAAAAAAAAAAAAAAAAAAAAAAAAAAAAGGAAAAAAAAAAAAGACAAAGAGCTCACTTGTTCCCACTAGAACAAAGGATACTTCTGGGTGTTGAACACTATGGGAAATACGAAAACAACATCAGGGGCTTAAGTCTGATTTCTTGGCAGTTGAGTTCTCCTGGAAATCAGACTCTGAGACTGCATGCACTAATTTTTGCAATACATCACCAAAAGCATTAAAGAGAAGCTTATAATACAGCAAATACATAGTGCTGTAACAATAAACAGGATTTTCATACTGTAGCAGAGAAACTACCACTTTTGGCTAATTTCCACTCCATTCCAATAGAATGAGGTTTTAACTATGAAAAAAATGTGATGTTATAGAGAAAGCAAACAAAAACTCCAACAACCTTCTTCCTTATTCAAAACATTTATGTGGGCTTCTGCAGTTAGGATTTTTATTTCTCACTTTGTGAGGGAAAAATAGGAGGGAAACCTTTTCTAGGGTTAGATTTGTGCATACGCGAGGTTGTCCTTAAATGCAATCCCAATTCTGTAATTATTTTGTGGTGGACATGTATACAAAAAAAAAAAAAGTAGCTGACTTGTTATTTGACTGCAAAGGGCACAGTGCAGAGATGATGCATTTTGTTTTCAAAATGAGACTCAGTGTGTAATGACTGTGTCATGTCTTTGGCTAATGCAAGATTGTTCTGCAGTGTGGGCTTGAAGAGAGTGGAGCTGTAACAGTTTAATCTTGTGTTTCTAGAAATAGAAATATATGGACCCATGCTTTTAAGATGTTAAGGTTTGTATGATGCATGTAATATGCACAAGTGTACCTGTATGTTTTAAAAAAATAGATACATATCACTGGCAAATATTTAATAGTATTTCTCTCTCTTCACTTATGACTGTTCTTGAAAAGAAAGCAAATAACCTAACACATTATTCTTTATAAAAGGAGAAACATACTATAAGTAGTAGCAGGTAATATGGATAGGCCAATGCTACTTTTCCACCTCCCTCAAACCAAAAATAGAAAATGCCATTTGCCATGATAAATTACACAACTGACTCTGAAAGTGACTGTTGAAAACACTTCCTTCCAATTCATACTGATATCCCCTGGTGATCTACAGAATGCAGATGACGCAAATCTAAATTAGTGCTATTTACTGCTATAGTGGCTGTGTTATTACAACACAAGCTTCGAGACGGTAAGTATAAGTATGGTCTTATGAACAGGACAAGTGACAGCTGTTTGACTCTGGGCAAAGAGCTGCCAGTGAGAGCATTATAATCTTCTGGGTGTGTAAGTAGCTGGGAAAAGGGAATGCTTTCCAGAGAAGATTTTCCCTAAGGGGTAAGATCAGTGAGAGACCATATTGTTGAGTCACTGAAAATTAGCCAAAGAATAGGCTGCATTGACTAACCTCCTTATTAAAAACAAAGCCTATTCTAATTTCAGCATGTGTTTCTGGCGTTAATGTACAGGAGCCCTAAGGCACAGTGAGGTAGACAGCAATTGAGCTCTAGTAGAGAAAAATTGGGATTACACCAAGCAAATGATTTCAAAAATTTCTGCTCTCCCATCCACCATTACTCCATGCTTGCTGAGGAAAGAAAGCAAAAGTTTAATGTTATACAGTACATTTAGGAGACAGTGCAAGCAGAAATTGTAGTTTTATCCATCATTTTAACCAAAGACATGGATCTTATACTGGAGAGGACTAATCATAACAGAGGTGTTACAGCAGACCACAGATACAGAGGATCTTAGTCTGTAAACATAGGAGTTTATTTGTGCATTTTAACTTATATTAAATATAATAATTCTACTTATATTTTAATAATTTTCACAATTTGCAAGATAATGAAGACAGTCATACAAAAACACAGGAGTATAAACTATCAAGAGAATTCTGAATCCATTAGGAAGCACTCAGTAAAGAAGATGGTATAAAACATTAATAATAACATTAATAATAATCACCTTACTTACCAGTTTCTGTTGTTTTGGTTTGACTATTAAAAATAAAATTCAAAACAATTTATTTCCACTTAACATGGTTACCCTACAAATTCAGTCTTGTTTTTGCCCATTCAATACCTTGAATGCAAGGTACGATTACACACAGTTGTTAGGATCTTCTTGCAATACTTTTGCTTTTATTATGATACCTTATCAGCTTATTCTCTAGGTAGAGGATGTTGGACATCTCTAGCTAATATATCTTAGTTTAATATAATCTCCCCAGTGCCTTGACTTGAAAATTGTTGTCTACCAATTTTTCCTAATGCATTAAGTGCTTTCTCATAATCAGCAAATGCCATGTCTAGCTGCAAATCATGTGTGTTTGCATTTCCATTCTGCCATTAATCACACCACTGTGAAATACCCAACTACAGATTATCCATTCTTTCGTCTGGCTAAAAACCTACTAGAGAACTGATTTATGAATGAGGTGTTTTTTTCTGTTTTCTTAACATTTTAGGTCAAGGACAGAAGTGTGAAATGGCTGTGGTCACTGAAATCTCAGTTGTTAGAAGTTTGCTGGTCTGCAGAACAGTCATAGATTTATGCATTCATGCACATGTATCTGCTCTTTGTTTTCAATGTGTGTTCATTAGCTTTCTGTGTGCCTTTCTGCTAGGTGTATCTTACTGCAAATCACAAACTCTTTTGCTTCTTCCCTAGTTATCAAGTTTCTCCTTAAGAAGACTATTTTCACTGCCAGAGGATCTGCTTTATTCAGAAAATGCATGTAAATGAAAAAAATGAACAAAATATCACAGAAATGTACATACTCAATGTGCTTGCTATAATAGTGTTGCTGATACCTAGTTAGGCACATGAAAAACATTTGCTCAAAGTTTATGTTTATTAATATGAAGACAACTTTAAAGTCCCATTTTCTGTCTTTTGCCAGCAATTCCTGTGCACCCGGATTCACTAAAGACTTAAGAACAGGATGGGAGCATCTACTTTGACTGCATCTCTTCCTAAAATATTATGTGATAAAGGAGAGGATAGACAGTATGTCTGTCACAGAAGTCAATAGACCATTCCACTATAACAGGAAGACTAAATTAGCAAAACCAGCAGGCTGTTCAACCGCAAACTATTTACTGCCTTCATATGACAGAAATTGGTTTATCTTCTCATTACAGTTTGAAGAGGCTTCTTCCCTTGACAAAGATGCTTATTCAGAAAGAGTGCAGCTCATAAAAATCTACATTATGCATACCATAAGGGGAGAAATCTTTCATAAGGGGCAAAAACAAACATAATGATTGAGAAAGTAAAGAAAATAATCTCTTAAAGCAATTCAGGCACCAACTAAATGGGACTTCTTATACTGCAGCAGAGTCAGTTCCTGGCTCATGCTTGTAAACAGGTCAAAGACAGCACTTCACAGGAAAGAAAACCTCCAGGTGGGTGTGGATGTAGCTCAGAAACTACATTTTTTTTAAACCAGTCCCACCCAAACTGATTATCAGGAATGCTTAAAAACAAACAAATGACCTCAGCTCTCAGTAATGCCCACAAACGATGTGCTGATCTATGTTGAAGTGATGGATTTGTATATCCCTCCATTCACTGAGCACTTTTCACAAAAATCCAAATACTTTGCCATTGTGTACACAACATCAAGTCAATCCTTAATAAAAGTTTATGAAACAGAGGTCATTGTTGCATATCTGAAGGTCAATACATCATCATTTAGACAAAGGATTTTCATTTATAAGCATATTAGCTTTTATAAAATATATGCAGTCAATATTAAGTATTTTTTTGGATTAGTACATGTCAAACAGCAGTAGCATTGTATGTTCTGAAAAATTTCAGGACAGCTCAAACCATTTTTTTTTAATTATTTTTATCTTTTTCTTTGTATCTTTTATCTTTTTATCTTTTTCAAACAATGTACGTCGTTTTAAATAGTGTAAAAGACAGAGCCCTCACCTTACAAACTCTTCCAACTCGAGAAAGAATTGTCTTGTCAGATGTGCCACTATCTTGTGATATTTCTCGGAAAAAGAAGTAGATTTTGTCATCATCTGGGTTATAGGTATCCGGGATGGGAAAAGTTCCAATGAACTTTGCTCCTAGAAGTTCCCCCCAAAAAAGATGTTATAAATATGAAGAAAAGTCTTGTTATTAAAATTCTTCTTAAATATCTACATTTATATTGCATCTTTCAGTGAAATAAATATATCACTATATAGACACACAGTGGCAAGTTTGTTATAAGCTCTGAGAGAAAACCAGCAGGGATTCTGAGATATTTGCTCTTGGTGTGATGTTTTTATGTATGCAGTTTACTACAACTTAAATAAATATGCAGCATTGGATATCATTTCTTGTTTGAAAGGAAGAAGACCTTTAATACAATGACTGCAAAAGTCTGCCATATCACTCATTCTCTAACCACCAATATCAAGCTAAGTGTTTTTTCCCCAAATTCCATGGTAGAATTTAATTAATTTAATTACACATTTCAGTAGTTATGAGTATAGAAATACACTACTGTTTACTAGAGATAGCTTGCAAATGAATGAAAGAACTTTGATTGATCCATGGGATTAAAAATTCAAACATAAATGACATCTTTTCCAAGTTAAAAGTTTCCTACAAACCTGTGCTTTAACAATCCTACCATCTCTATTTACAAATCCAACACAGTGCCTTGCATTAGCAAAAGGTTAGCACACCAAACTCCACGACTCTAATTAGTTTTAAGGAGATAGTTCCTTGTTTTGCATCAAAACATGTTAGTTATATCAATCTGGGAGCAAGTTGTTCAGAGAGGCTGTAGTCTCCTCTAGAGTAGAGTAGAGTAGAGTAGAGTAGAGTAGAGTAGAGTAGAGTAGAGTAGAGTAGAGTAAAGTAGAAATCTCCTTGGAGATTTCCAAAAGCCAAAGGATATGGTCTTGAGCAACCTGCTCTGGGTGTCCTGGATTGAGGACCAGATGGCCTCCAGAGGTCCCTTCCAACCTCAGCCAGGCTGATTCTATAACATTCTGTTTGGGCTATTTTGATTTTTGCAAGGAGTGGCATGGCAGTTGTGTTACTTCTGGTCTCTGACAAAGAAAGCCTATCTCTGCCTGCATCTCATTGGGCCAAGAACTTCATCCATGTTCTTGACCATCTTATTCAGATCTCATGTTCATGTTATCTTCTTCTGTTCTACTTTTTCACCATTTTTATTTTCTTTTTTCCTTACAGACTACAGTCAAAAATTAAACAAATTCCATAGGCTCCAGACTGCAACAGGGCAGGCAACCACACTGTGTTGCACAAGTTAGCCAGATGCTTTGGGATGTGATTTTTTTTAAGACATTCCCCAGTGTGCTACAATAAATGAGCTCTTTTGAGGGCCCATGGAGCAATGCTATATTTCTTTAAACAGAAGTGCTTATGCAAATACAATGCAAAGAGACCCTTGACTCTGAGATACATTCTTTCAGTAATAAATTCATGGTCTTTGTCCCAGGTAAGGCTGCAGTGAAAGATAGTAAGGAGTATGGTGTAAGATGGCAGAGCAAACATTGGTGATTTGTGGGAAATACTATTAATAGCTTTTATTGCATCTTCATGTCTTTACTTTTTTTTTTTTTTTTTTTTTTTTTAATGATTATTACTTCATATTCACCTCAAGGAGTTTACACAATGTACTTTATGGTACACAGAGAACAAAAATAGGGTCCTTGATTCAAAGGTTCACAGTCAAAGACTTGAGACAAAATGTTCAAGGGCTGCTGCATATGGACCTTCATAACAGAAGAGTAAATTTATTGGTCAAAATTGCCATAATTGCCTCTTCCATTTTAAACCTTTCTGACACTACAGAATGGCACCAACAGAAAAATGAAATGATGAAGATGTCAGGCCCAACAAACTTAAGTGAAGATTTCAAATTGAGTCTAAAGCAAATATTCAGATACTCCTCAGGGCTTTTAAGGCCTCTGAAGATTAGATCTTCAACAATGAATAAATACATAATGACTTCCAATATGGCTTCTGTAGTATGGAGTTTATTAAACAATTCATAAATAAAGTAACCTGTGAAATGCTTCTGTAGCATTCTTTTGAATTTCATATAGATTTTTATTTTTTTAATCCACAATCACATAACAAAACCCTGAATATATGCTCTTTTAAAAATAAATTTCATTGCTTTACTTGGCAAGCCAAATGAAAAAACAAATGTCTCAATACCAATTCCTGGAATAGATTTTAAAGAATCTCTAACAAATTAAAGGAACACAAATATTTAATGATTTTAAATCACAATGGAGAACACTGATCTTGAAAGTAAAATCCAAACAAAAATACACCATAAAAGATATGAAGAACAAGAGATTAAAAACAATTTAATAAAAGAGATCATGAACTGAAAAGCACATTGTGTTCTGCAAATGAAATATTTGTCTCATCTCTTGTAATCATTCCATAAAACATAGAAAAGCAAGTTCAAATCAATTGTGAATTAGGTTTTTGGATTCTTTGCATGGGAAATAAATTATATGGTGATCATTTTAAACCAGTATTTGTTTTCCCATACACACCACTGTCCTCGCTTAATTATTTCAATAGAAAGTTTTCCCACATATTAATTTCCTAGCCAGACTGTATGCAACAGAACAGGGAATTAAAGGCTTCAGGAGCTTTGAGAAAGAAGCTACTAGAAGTTCAGGTATTGCTCATGCTTTTTTTAAACATGCTCCTGTGGTCTGGTAGGAATAGTTACTACACCCAATCCTTTACTGCTGGTTCCCAGGGGTGGTCATGTTTGCTGTAGGTTACCTGCCTTCTATTTTCACCCTTCTAAAGCAAGCACTAATTTTAGCCTGGACAACCTCTCATGCATTAATAATGCTTCCAGAGAAAATTATTAAATCCAGAAAAAGAGGACAGCAAATGCATAGCAAATCCTAGAACAAAGAAATCAAAAGGCGAACAAAAACAGCTAGGACACTTTCTGCAGTAGCTCTTTGTATCTGGGCTGCCAGAAATATGGGGCATGATAAGATACAAAAGACAGTGCTCACCTCATTTACCTTTAACCATCAACCATCAAAGTAGTCAGGCTCCTAACCTACACTCACCCAGGTCCTCTTTCAGGGTGGGACTGATTGGGGAAAGGAAGAAAGTGATGATAAATAATCCTATTTTAAAACAGATTCCTACAGTAGGTGGAGTGAGTCACCCCATGGAAGTGTCACCTCTCTCTGTAAATTACAGGCAGAGACAACTGAAACGGCTGAGCTCAGACAGGATGCTAACTTTTGCCTTTTAAAGCTCAGTGAGCTGAATTCCATCCAAAACATTCAGGACATAAAGAAGTTATTGCCTGTAAGTATCTGTCCCTGGCAAAGACGACTAAATTGAAATGACAACAAACAAACAAACCCCCCAAACCAAAAAAAAGATTCATGTATGCAGGGAAGCTCTCATCCTAACTCTGACTTTAACTTCCTGTAAAGGAGGGAGGAATGTGCAGCTATTTAGTGGATGCCTGTATGTCTGGTACCCCATTGCAGGATGCCCTCCTCTGCCATCTCAGCTGGAGGAAGGCACACAGTTCCAGTGGGCGGTTTTGCCTTCCGGAGCAGGGGCCCAGCCCCATGTACATCATCCAGGGCCCCAGCTCTGGAACAAACAGCTCTGGCCAGCTGCTGTGACAGCACTCAATTCTCCAGCCCTGCAGTGCTGAGTGGAGGCAGCATCCTTCAGTGCCACTGCGTGCAGGAGTATGAGCCTGTGTGAGTGTGAGTCATGGGAAAGATTAGCTGCCTTCCTCCCTTTCTCCTTTGTAGAGCGGCTATTCAGTCACTGAGATTAAAACATGTCTTAATTAGTCAAGATAGAGATGCCCTGCAAGGAACTGGAAGGTATCCTACGCATTTTTCCCTTGTGCTTTGTCTTTCTCTGCCTTCCCCCAGGAAAGAATAATCTTGTTTCCAGGAATGGAATAATAATTTAAAAAAAAAGAAAAAGAAAAAAAAAGGAAAAACAACAACAACAACAACAAAAACACTTTAAAATATTAAGGTGCATTATAGAAAAACTTCCGCAGCCCACTGGAAAAAAAAAAAAAATCAAGTTACACATTTTATGCTTATCCTAAGTAAAACATGACTCACGCCTGGAAATAATTTATTTCTAATTGTACAATTACTCAAATATGTATGACCTTTCCTGGAGGTCTAACACATATTTGGTCAATGGGTAGTAGGTTTAGGGAAGACGGGATTTAGATGAAGTGGAGGTTTTAAAACTGAAATTAAGTAAATATTTTTTTTTATACCAATATCGGCTGAAAGCACAAAATGTATGAAATTGGTAATGTTACACAATCACCTAGCAATATACTGACTACGCTATGGCTTACTGCAAAACTGACCCCATTATTTAGAATTACACTCAAAATTTTCTCCAGCTTTAAAAGGACCATTTCAAAATATTAAAAGTACCTAGTTTATGCCTGTGGCTCTTAGTATAACACTGCATGGATTGTGTTTGTGAAGTCTTATAACATGACTGTGGTTTCTTATATGGCTGGAAAGAGAGTAAACTTGAAGAATATATGGGGTCTTTGGTGATTACATAACAAGGGTATATTTTCACACTGCAGCCACACTGAAGCTGTTTTTCAACCCCAGACATGTTAATATATTATTCTCCTTAGAAATCTTTCACAGATACAGATGTGAAAACAGAATAAAAAAAAATGATCTAATCTATAGGAAAGAAGAAAGGCAGACTTCCCCTCACAACCTCTAAACTAAAACACAAAGAGTTCTCAATCCTTTAGTTTATCCTATGTTCTTGTACTGTTCCCTGGTCTCAAACTGCTCATGAAGAATCATTAATATCATGAAGAAATGTTTGGAACTGGATATTTAAGCTATAAGTTCTTGTGTGCTGGGAACTGAGCCCTCTTTCATCCCCCTGTAATGCTCATCGATGTGGATATGTACTAATGATAACACCAGATGCTCCTTAGGATCAAACTGCAGTAAATCTTTCTTTTTAGGATATTATAGCATCCCTTAGGATGCTACCCCAACTGTCTTTCCATGCTAAGCAGACAGTAATAAAATCAGATGCTAAGGAACATGGTTAGAGAGCTGCCTCTGGGATGGACCCATCCCAGTCCAATACTGCATGCAGCCCATTTCTGGTCTAAATTGCACAAGGGACATGCAGCAACGCGAGGGAGGAGATAGAAGAGGTGGGGCAACAGAGATGTTGAGCCATACATTTGAAGAGTACAGGTGATGAAACTGGGATATGTTAGCACTGCAGTATGAGATTTTCTATCTCTCTGCAGGGCTACTCCTATCTGGAAACGTAAGTTGACTTGAAGTGTTTTTTCCTTTCCTCCCCATTCCCCAGGAGAAATCTTGAGGTTATGGAGCCACATCTAGACATAAATATAGAGCAACAGCTTAGGAGGAGGGAGAGAAGGAGTAGGGAAGTAATAATAAAAGTATGAATATTTCCTCTTGTTGAGGTCTCAAAGAGTTAACAGGCAAAATTATGCCTTTCAGAAGTTGATTGCTGGGAAGACAACTTAACCCTGTGGTCAGCAGACCCTGGCTTTACAATACACCCATAATAGTTACACAGACAGCCTGAATCAGGGCCAGTGTTGCCACATCTTTAGAGACAGATGACAGCTAAAAGGGGGACGCTTTAACTGAGCATGGTTAGCTTGTGAGCGAAGTTTTCCACGTTACTCTGTGTGTGGTTTGAGACCGGCTGGGTGTAAATGTGGCCAGTTTTCTAGAGGGTTTACTAGCTCAGAATGTTTTTAACGGACAAGAAAAAGCAGTGTTTTGCTTGGGAAGCTATTTTAGGGTGCCCTCAGTGGTTTTAAAATGATTCTGACAGCAACAAAAGGTATTTTTCCCCGTCTAAAAAGGGGGGAAAAATACAAAATGAGAGAGAGAGAGAGAGAAGACCTCCTACCTAAAAACATGGAATTTCTAGTCTGTCATTTCAACATACTGGAGGGAACAGCTTTTAACAAGTGATCAGGAAAAAAGAATATTCCAACAAGACTGGAAATAAAAGCATTTTAGTCATGATAGTATTCCAATTATAGCACTATATACAGATGTACAGATCAAAGATGGAAAGAACTATTAGGTCTTACTCTCCTCCTCTTTCCTTAATTAGTATTTTCACCTTTTTGACTTTTCTCAAGTGCATTTTTGTTCCACTGAGCTTTTTTCCAAAAGAGTCTACATAATCCAAAGATACCATGATACAGTATCTATATTTATACTTACTGGACATATATTTATTTAAGAAAGGGGCTGTTAACTTCAGAGAGACAGGGACAATGTAAATGACAACAGCATATGTTTGGGATCTTACCAGTAAGCCAGTAATGTTCAGAAATGTCAGTTCTGATGTAATGGTGGTCGTGAGAAGGGCCCAGGGAACGTGTTAGAGCCGTGTCTTTGCCAAGGAAATCAGAAGCTGTTCCAGCATAAAGATACTCATCTACAAATGAAAAAGAAATGGGGTTTCTACAGCTGTGGAGTAAACAAATTACAACTGTTTGTGTTCTGTTGGGTGAATATCACCTGCATCTAATTTGCCTATGAACTAATTTAATGCTTTAAAGTGTTATAGTCTTATATTTTAATAGGATTTGTGGTTCTGTGAAATTACTTATATTAAATGGAAGTAGTATTTATAATAACATCTCTGAGAAGCGAAGGAGTCCATGCATAATTTTGGAAGGCTTTTAGGCATCAAAAATTCCTCCTTTCCAGGCTTTGATAAGCTTTGGCCTAAGGGGATGTAAGAATATCCAAACTGAAAATTATGCCCCATGAGCGTGGGGGGGCATGATGTGGAGAGGACCATCTAGTAATCCAAGCTTGCTCTCATGACCCAGCCTTGTCAGCACACATGGCTTTGCTGATCCTGGGTTGGAGCTGAAACACTATGGATGCTCCAACCCAGGAGCTTCTCATCTTGGCCCTTTCCTGAAGTAGGGATCTCTGCCTGACACTTCATTCATGAAGAGGAATATAGGCACTAGTCTCAACTATGCACCTTTAGGCACCTTCTCAACTATGTAACGTTAATGGTAGGAATATGGCTACAGACCCAAACTGTGATCATTTTAACATAGTGAGTAGATCCACTAAAATAAATGACATCTTGCTTGAATAAGGCAGCCAGAATTTTAATATAATACTGTTGGTTTTTTTTGTTTTTTTTTTGCTACAATTGCAGTTACTATTTAATTTTCTGTCAGCTTTCTGAGCAATGTAAAACTTCACAACTTTAAGAATTGCACAATATTTTCTGCTTTCCTTCAGATCTCAGTATTTTTCTAAAGGGAAGCAAAGAGTTACTATGATTTTATTTTTTTTATTATTTTTTAACCACATTGTGCATTTTACAATTCTCTTTTATTTCTACAAAAATAACAAGATATCTTTATTGGTCAGAGAAACTTTGTTTTTGTTTAATGGCTTGCAACTGTAAGTCAGTTTTTAAAAAGTGGACCTTAATCATATAAAAAGCTGAATGATCTGTGTGATACATAAAATTACTTTCCAGATTTTCTGATGCTCTGAGTAGAAACATTTCACAATATATTTTAGTGAGAAGTCCTTTGTTGAGAGCAAACTTACAAAAAATATCAATCAACACAAACGTTGTATCATTTCATTTGCAAAATTTATAAACACATTAAAAAAAAAATCAAAACAAACCAAAAACCCCACAACCCAGTGACCCGCAAACACCTTATTTGGCCAAAAAAAAGATCTGTTAGCTTTCTTTTTTTTCAATATTGCTGTTACTCATGTATTATTTCCTTAACCGTACTGGAAAGCACATCTTTCAGACAGCATGTCGCCTTTGTAAAGAAACAATAGTGCATTCAGTACGGTATTTGTCATAATGAGGAATGGGCAGGGTAATTGGTGTTTGCTAACTGACAGGCACTCAGTGATCAATAAACCTGAAGGTCTAACAGAAACTGCTCATCCTTGTCTAGGTTCTGCTGACAAGGCGCTTTCAGCACTTCTTGTGGCTTTCAGTCCAAGTTCCAGTTATTTCCAGAATGGTTTTGGTGAGCAGTAATTTGTAATAGAAGATGGATGATGAGCAGGTGATTTTTAGCTGGAAAGACTAGTTTTTCCAATAGCATGTAATTAATCTGTGGAATTTACTTGGGGGGAAATGCTGTGCACAATTCAGAGATTAGCTGTTAGAATGAAAATTACTCACTTATGTTAACCTACATACAGGAACGGAAATAAAAGGAAATAATATTTAGCTCATATTTATATCTGATTACAAAGTGCTTTTTGAAGGAAGGAAGTAATATTTATTGCCATTTTGCAGATAAATTAAACCATGCAGAGAGAAACAATGTTCCAAAGGCTATTCCTCTCTCCAGTAGCAGAGATGGGAACTGAGCTCCCTGAGTCCCAGTGTATCTTATCCATGAGCTATACTGCTCTCCTAGCACTTTTGGGAATAAAGTAATCATCCAAAGATAGGTCAAGAATGCATTCTCTGGTCAGGCCTGTAACTCTTTACAATGCTCCTTGTACATTATTGCAAAGCACTTGACACCAGGCACAGACACCAGGGAAGGGATGCTGGAACAGCCCAATCATTAATATTATCTAGCCATAAAATTTTTATGTACCAAAGTTCATGGTTTAGTTAGCTAAAGCGCAGCAGCTTCTTCATTTCACAAGATTTAATAAAGAAGTCGATGTACTAAAGTGCTACTGAAATTAGCCAACTCTATAATAAATCATGGAGCTATATTGCATTAAGAAAAAGAAATAGTTAAAGTTTCTAGAATTCCATTTTAAAAATAGACTTCACGGTCATTAAACAGTTCTAGGGATCTCTGAGAAGAATAAGCACTGGCTTTAATCTATTGTTTTTAATAAAGGAAGTCCTGCCCCATCTGTTGGGTCAGAATCACAAATCATCTATCTTACTATCTGAGAATAAAGACTGAACATTAGTCATATTCTTTTTATAACACAGAGTGACTGATACTTCAAAGCATTGTCACCACTACTCTTTGGCTGTAAATGAAAACGTCATGGTGCTTCACTCTTATCTTGTATTCATAGGCTTGATGGACAAGTTAAATGAAAATTGTCCAAAGCTATGAACCAAACCATGACAAAAGTAGCTCTTATAGTGGTTTGAAATCCAGAGGTCAAGCTGACATTCCTCGGCACCAAATGTCAGACCACACAGCGCTGTGATGCACGCAACAGGCAGATTGTGCTATCTTGTTCTTAGGCTTCCAGCTTCAGAAGTGGCTACTCGAGTAAATAGAAACCTCGAAAATGTATTTATGGAAATAGTGGATGTCAGCAGACTTCAAAGGGCAGAACATATTGATAATTGTGGAAAGAGGCCCAGAAGTGCTTGAAACATTGTCTGTCCATGTGGTTTTTTGTTGTTGTTGTCTTTTTAAAGGAGAAGTGACTGGGTGAGAATGAAACCCTGCTCAGAGGTTTCACAGCCACTCAAATTTCTCTGTTTGTGTTGCTGCACTTCCAACTGTTTGGTGTCTGCAGTCTGAAGGCTCCCCCAGGTCCCAGAGCACAAAGCAGCATCGGAAGCACGACCACGGCCAGAGTTTCTTCACCAGTGACATCTGCTGAGCCTCTGACCCTGGTGTCTGCCCATGAAGCCACTGAGCGTCTGGCTCTGATGGTTTCTTACCTGCCATCACAGATGCAAACGGCTGCTGAGGATCAAAAGGGCATTTCAATCTGCCTGACTCCAGGTTCTGGGTATCCAGTCTGAATGTTGTTTCCTGAGAATAAACACATATTCATTAGCCTGGTGTGGCTGCAGAGAAAAAACTCAGACTATTCTGCTAACATATGAAGTGAAGGTGTATTAGATCATGTAGCTGTCATGTCAGGATTGATGTTTACAGTCCATGTCTCTGTTTTATATCTGGATTTTTTATTTTTTATTTTTTTCACTCATTGTTTTAATGTATCTCTTTCACTCCATAGCAAATAAATAAATAAATAAATAAATCTCGGAAAAGTAAAATTATTTTCAGAAAAAAAAAAAAATCCAATGCTCTTTTCTATTCAAATTAAAGGCTGAATTGTACTTAAAAGGCACTGGCTTCTATTTGAGAAAGTGCTGATAGACTATGTTGCAACAGGAGACCCAGATGAGATTCTGGCTGACTCCTAAATTTCTCTAGGGACTGCTGAATAATGTTTGTGGCAGACACAGTTCAGACCCTTTTAAGTAAGAGCAGCATATGTTCTCTCTTGTTATTTTTAACAAGGCTAATGATACAAGAGATATTAGAATAGATCCTTCCTTAAAGTTCCCAAATACAGTGTGATTAATGCCTAGGTCTCAGAACAAGGGCATAGAGGGAGATTAAGAAAATAAATTATTTTAAAATAATTTCTGATGATTTCAGTGGGGAATCTTATATTTCTGATTCAATTTTTGTAAGCATTAATTTGAAGTTTTGCTATAGTTTTGAATTGCTATAGTGGTCAGTTTCACTTGTTCCTTTCACTAGCTTCCTAAAAGCACACTTAACTGAAACCCAAATGTCCTCAGAAGGCAAAATGATTACTCAGATAAATGAAGTCTTTGTAGGTTCAGAAATTTGATTTTCACAATTTTATTGTTTTTAGAGAAGGGAGATTGCCTACAGAGGTGTTTTTAATATATTCTCTTATTTACAATGACATTTAAAAATCACATGACCTGACTAGTGGTCAGGAATCCAATTATTGTCAGTTTAATATTAATTGTAGAGATACAACATTTGAAGTTAGTTTCAAAGAAAAAACTGTGATTTAAACCATCATTTAAAAAATGGTGAAGTGACTTTAATTATTTATTTCTATACCTCTGAATTACAAGAGGACTGAAGAGTGCAACTGAGCTTACTATGTCCAAAGATAGACACATAAGATCAGACTTCACAACACATTAATTCAATTCATGCTAATAGTGCATCAGATTATAAATAACCAAGCTGTTCTATTTCATTGAGAAGTCTCTTAAATTCTCTAGGCTCAGAGGACAAAAGCCCAGGATGTTTAATAATTAATCTCCTTACTTAAGAGGGAAAAAGAATCAATTCCAATCTACGAAGATAAATTCCATTTTCTCCAGCAATACTGTCTGCTATAAATCAGAATTTAATAATCCAACAAGAACCCTTGTTATCCTCTCAAACCTGTGGATATCAGGCAAACCAAACTCTCAGGCTACTGAACTGGGCCAGAGCACAGTGAGGACAAAACTGAATTAAGAACTGAGCATTATTTTGCTGGCAATACATTGCTAATGTCCCATTCTCATTTCTTCCAAGAAATTAAATCCTGAGCTGCTCAGAGGACCATTGCAGTATCACATGCCAAGAGACTGTCCCAATATCCAGCAGTACTCCAGAGACCGAGGGCTTTGTAGATCACCATCAAGTATTTCAGACTGCACCCAGACAAACTAATGGACACTACCAGGCATTCACACAGAATTAAACTCCTGCTTTCACTTTGGACAAAGCTTTCAAAGAAAAGAGCATCCCTTGGAGAGCTGTGGCTAACGGCACCGACCGGGCCAAACCTCGTCTTCACCAGCCAAGAGAAGTTTTGGCAGTGACTTCAGTAATAGCAAGACTAGGACTTTAATCCCCTTTAATTGTGTGATCCTGTAGGGGATTTGTACTGCTTCAAAAGCAGTGTGTGCTGTGGTTTTGAGTCACCTGATCCACACTCTTTTCCTGCCTGTTTTTGCAGCACTGGCACCAGCCAGCAGACCACTGGGCAGATCCTCCACTGCTTCCAAAGGTCAGCAGGGCACTGCCTGATTGCACAGCCTCCATGAGGCTGTCTCAGTCCTTGGCTCTCCCAAGCATCCCACAGCTTCCTGTAGAGGTTGTTAATTACCAAATATCCACTCTTCATCCTTACAGGCCAGAGAAAAAAACAGATCTGCAACAAAAGCACCCTGAATTTCCATACAGTACTCCTGGCTTCAGTTCCTGCAACCAGGAGGACCAGGAGACACTTTGAACTGTCTGTCAAATTCAGAACAATGGGTTTGCAAGGAGACCAGACCCAGCACGCTTCTGCTATTGTCAGATTTATCTGGACAGGCAGTGCCAGGACAGTAGATATATAGTGTCTGGAAGAAATGGAAAACATTGAATCATAGAATCATTATGGTTGAAAAAGACCTCCAAGGTCATCTGGTCCAACCATCCCCCTATCACCAATATTACCTACTAAACCATGTCTCATTCAAACTGTTATTCCAGTAGGAGGTTGTAAAAGATCTGCACCATCTGTGGAGGTGGGAGTAGTGATGAATGCTGCACAGCTCACCACTACAGCTGAGCAACCAGTGAGTGCAAGAAAGGCAAGACTGGGAGACAGTGAGGGGATTAGGAAATACAATATGGGAATTCTTCTTCCATTTCCTCTCATAAGGTAATTGGTCATGTCTAATTGAGACAGACCCCCTGTCTAGACTGACTGCCAGACTGAACAATCAGGCCAACTCCATAACTTTATAAAGTCTGATGAAAACAGCCTTCACAAATAAAGTTGCAGTGGCGGAGTGGATAAGGAATCTCGTTAATGATCCAGAGGTAAACCAGAGACTTACTTAAACTTTTGCTGAGAGCTGTTCTGCTCAGTTCAGCTTTATATTTAATCATTCATGCTAAGGAATCAACAGAGTACAAGGGATCCAGTTGTTTCAATTGGAATATTCAAGGAAATTAAGAAAAAAAAGAAAGAAAAAAAAAAGCCTAAAATATTTCTTTGCAAGCCCTATCTATTATTCAGTACGTTTTATTAATGGCTTATTAGGAAAAGAACACCACAATGCAGATTTCAGATAGTTCAGTTCTCTGCAACTTTGGCAGACCCCTGGTCAATCAACCCACAATTTTATGGAATAAAATGAGTCTCAGTCAGGGCTAGCATTAATACCCATCCCCTCACATCCTTTTTTTTTTTTTTTTTTCTCTCTGGGAGCATCTGCCCTTGATTTTGTATGTCAGAATAAATCCAGCGTGTACATATTTCAGGGTATTGCATTTAATAACATGTCATTAAACCTCTTTTCTTATATTCTAGTATTTCACTTAGACCCTGAGAAAAAAATAAAGCTATTTCTACAGCAGCACAGTAAGCCTGCAATGCAGGCAAGCAGCCAGACAGGTCATATCCAGACACTGTCTGAGAACAGAGCCAGTGTTATAAATATAGCCAAGGTGTGATACATATAGGAGTTAAAAAGAGACTTGTGTATTAAGTGGCTGCTTGACACAACACTGTTGTGGGGGTTAGGTCTCAAACATTTGCCACTTAGGATAGAGATTTCTTTGTCACCAGCAAATGAAGACCAATCAGCCGCTAAATTCAGTCCAGGACTATGCCACTTGTGATGGAGGATACCCAGCATTTCCTCAGTGACAGGGCTGCAAACCAGCTGCAAAGCCTGAGATACCATCCTTCAGCTCAGAGACCATTTACAAACTCTGTACTACCCTTACAGGGAAACAAGCCCTGAGGAGCAGGGGATATGTGTACCTTAAAAAGTAGAGCAATGAATGTCGTCTTGAACTCTGCATGTGTGTGTGTGTATGTAAGCAGAAAATATGTGCGGAAATGACTTACTAGAAGGAAAGATATCTGGGTTAAATGTGCTCTTCACTTAGTTAATCATGTAGAAATGTCATTCCAAAAAGCATTGTGTAGTAAGTATTACCAAGGAAAGTGCTTTGTTCAAAAGCGATACACACATCAAATGTGAGAACACAAGTTCCCGTCTGACCTAGAAAATCCGCCATTTACTCTGTTATTTAGGCAAGCTGCTGTCAGTTCATTTTTTATACACTCACAGGGTATTTTCCAATCTGTGATGAATGCTAAACAAGACAAGGGTTACTCCTTGACATGTCAGAGTAGCAAGGAAATTAAATTACCTCTTTGTGAGTGCCAAGTTCAATGTATCCACAGAGAGGGTGAAATGCTCCTGTGCCACAGACGTAAACATGGGTTCGGTTGTAGGGCTGAAGAACCCTGATAAAATTGGCACATTCTGTCTGTTGTGAAAGGAAAGGAGAGAAATGTTAATTGTTATGTTTATTTTTCTCTTTGACATTATTGTACTAGGTGTTAGCCATAATATCCTTGTATTTAACCTCAAAACTACTGTAACAGTGACTGTTTACTGGATAGATCAAAGTTGTGATGGCTAAAATTTTACAGTGGCAATGTATCAGGCAGCTCATCAATCAGATTTGTAAGCCTTTCTGTTGTAACACTTACAGACATGAGAAGCTATGTGGTAACAGTATAGTTTAGAGGACATCTCTTCAGCATATGCTGTGGACACATCCCCTGTCAACAAAGGTCAAATAGCCACTGGATTAATCTGCCCACAAATCCTCCCACCTTTGCTCCTAATTAAGGGTTCTGCACAAGCTTTAGCACTGAAGATTACATGATAGAAATCCTTGTGGCAATCTGAAGGCCTTCACCATACTTCCAAGGGGATGTTTTGTGCAAGTGACCTCTCTTTGCACCAACCACAGCTGGTCACCTTTATTTGGGAATTCCTGTGAGTCCTTTGGAATGCTCAGGTCAAGTCTTGGCTCTAGCTGGGCTTGGTAATGTCAGGTAAGTAGCACAGATGCCACTTGCTGTAAGGATGAGCTGGATATAAAGGCAAGTTGTAGTTTTCCGCAAAATTAAAGAAATATGTGCACATATAATAAGGTAGTGCACATATAATAAGGTAATGCACAAAAGTTTTGTATAGGTCCAAGAGACCATCCTACACGTAAGTGCAGAGACATTGCAGGAAGCAAAAAGGAGATAGTTTTGATGTATGTTAGAAACTAATTTTCTCTCGTGCCTTTCCTTTTGTCTTAGCATAGGAATAGTTCAGCACAAATCCTCCATATAGACCAGTATCAGAACTTTCCCAGTGTTCAGCAGAGGTGTTGTTTGGCTTTTGTCTGCTGTAAAGATAAGGGTAGCAATAAGTTAGGATAAAAAGTTGGAATTCCTCAGACAAGAGCACAAAGACTGTTCTGAGTTGGAGTCCACCTTGGTAACAGACAAGCTGGACAGAAAGCATGGGATTTGTGGAGAGAAAAGGAAGAAATTTTATTATACAGCTGGGAAATGTTTACATTTCTAGTGGACTCTAGACACGATGTAATCTGTGCTATGCAAAAGAGATATGAAAGTTTTATTGTATATATGAATGCACCTTATATACACGGAGACTTCTTAAAGAAGATTTGTGGTTCCAGGGAAACACTAATGAGGCTGAGATCTTGTTTTAACCTTAACTGCAGCTGTCTACAAGTTAAGTTAATTTGTAGTGTCCACTTCTACTCTGATTCATCAATGAAGTATAATGAAGTTACATTCAGGATATTTCCAAGGAAAGAGGAGCACTGCAATGGGAAAGATTTCAGGGGAACCTTTCTCACAATAAATTTCAGAGGAAAGTCCATTCATCTTTCAACTAAATTCATTACATACAAGAATGGCTAAGTATGATTGCTGCTCTTAATATTGAATATTTTTCTTGAAGCATCAACATTTAAAGAAATTCTATGACTTGAAAAGAAAAAGAGAAGGGAAGGGAAGGGAAGGGAAGGGAAGGGAAGGGAAGGGAAGGGAAGGGAAGGGAAGGGAAGGGAAGGAAGGGAAGGGAAGGGAAGGAAGGGAAGGGAAGGGAAGGGCAGGGAATGAAAAAGATATGAAGAGAAGTGACCGAGAAGGAAAGACGGAACGGAGGTCCCTTCACGCGCCGGAACAGGACAACCCTCTCCTTCCCTCCGCATTCCCGCCGCTCCTTCCCTCCTTCAGCCCTTCCTCAAGGAAAATCCCTCCTCCAAGGAACTTCCTTCAGGAACGGAAGTAAGTCCGGCGTACGCCCGGACAGGAAGTGAACGGAAGGAACATTCCCTTCCCTTCCCCTTCCCGACCCGCCAAGGCCCCGGAACTTACCGTCCCAATCCCTCCCTCCCTTCTCCCTTCATTCCTTACCTTCCTCCCTCCCTTCCCTTCCCGCCCCCCTTCCCTCACGATCCCTCCCTCCGCTCCCTCCCCCCCCGCCCCCCCCTCCCCTCCCTCCCCCCCCTCCCCGCCCCTCCCGCAACGCCCCGCCTCCCCTCCCCCTGCACCTCCCCAAAAAACAAGAAAGAAATAAGCCTTTTTTTTCAATTAATCCTGAAAAGAAAAAGTGTAAAAGAAGCTTACTAACCTATATAATGCATTTAGAAATGAGTATATGGATGCACATATTATTATCAGCATTAATAAAAATATAGATACTATACTTACGTGGGCATCTTTCCCAGCTAATTTGCATAGCTCCACCTTTTCTTTTGCTGCAGGCCAGTAAATCTGGAAGAGAATTTAAAAAATACAAAAATATATTATTAAGATATGTATTATAAATAGTCCTCTGATTGCTGCTTAGCTATTTCCTTGAATGAACAGTTAAAACTTATGCATGTCAAAGGAATTTACGCGAGTAGAAGTAAATGTGGCTTTGAGTACAGTTTTTTGTCACTAGTATCAAGGCTTTAAAATCAAATCCTTTGTTCTTTGTTAATTTCTTCTTTGTGTATACCTACCTTTTTAAAGTACTTAGTTGATCCACCTAACACACCTTGTAAGCATTATGAACCACATGTTTTTCTCAAAGATTAGATGAGCTAAATCATCTTGAAACTAAATTGACTGCAGAACAAGGCAATTTACATTTATGATGAATTTGATCCAGTGAACTTGGCAAAGCAGTTATAGAAAAATAGTGAGCTGTTACTGCCAATTTCCAAATGAAAAGAAGTTTTGTTTGAAAAACTAAAAGTAGCTGAAGGGAAATTTGTAGAACAAGAAGTACATTTGACAGAAATTAATAGCACATTGTTTTAAAACATCATCAATCAACAATAACTAAGTTTACTGAGTGAAACATAAAGATTTAGAAAATGACATAGAAGTTTAGAGAAAAATCATATACCTTAGACAATTTGCAGCATATATTATTACTGTTTCTCTTTGTTTCGTTTGTATTATAGAATTCTTTATATTAGGTTTAAGTGCAGATGGAGCCAGATGACAAATCGTTATCTGTTACTGTAACCCCAATGATATTAGTGGTGAAAAGTCAAAGAGCAACAGCTCCATTTCTGATTCATTGATTTCAATTAAACAGTTAGAATTTGATATTATCCAGTATTCCAGTATATTTTTGATTCTACTAAATTCAAAAAAAGAAGCTGAATACTAAGTTTTTCAGAAACATTATGCTAAGTGTGTATCTTTTTTTCCTTATTTTGACAAAAGAAAGCTACAACCATTTCTCATAATTTATAACAACAACAAATCATAATTTTAGAGCAAATATTAGTTAGGAAATTGCCTCATCCCAGAGACCAATATGAAGATTGCTAGTAGTCATACACGCTTTTTTACTCGAGTCTCAAATCACAGTTGGTAAAATCCTAAGCAGTGAATAGTGAATATATGAATAAAAAAATGTTATAATAATCATTAAAAAGGATCTTCCAGTAAGGACAAGTAATTCAAAAACATGCGAGAGGAGTTAGCTTCTGTAATATTTCTTTTTGTTCACCCAGGTATTGGCAACTTTTAAGATGTGGCTTGCCCCATACATAGGCTCTGGGATGGAAAGCTGGAGTGCCCTGTGTCAAACAGCTTTATCACAGTCCCAAACACAGCCAATATTCCTCTCAATATGGAAACTATCTTTTTATTTAATTTCTTTCTCTTCTCTTCCCAGTGCTAATGGATGTGTTGGCTTTCTGCAAGGAAATTAATTTCCTCTCAATGAATTTGCAGTTACCTTTGTGATTAGAGGTTAATAGTGTATTTTAAGTTATATAAACCTTAACCCTTTACAGCAACATTTACCTAAAGTCAGAGATAAGGCAGTATAAAAACATCTCTGCACTGGAGTAAAAATTTATTTTCCCAGAGCATTTTCTCAGAATGATGTCATGATAGCATCCAGGTATGAAAATGCAATTGGAAATCAGCCGCACCAGCATGTCTGGATTACACAGTGTACAACTCCAGAATGTACAGCAAGAAGCACTGGGAACATTGCAAATACATTGGGAAGAGTTGAAGCTAGTACCAGTGAACTCATCTGCCCTCTGTCTGGGTGGAGTGGGACAGCTTCCCCTTGCAGCACTGTTTTGTCACAAGTGCCATTGGGTTAAGGAGAAGGAGACGCTGAGGCACAATTGGTGCTGTTGAAAAAAAAAATATGATGAAAAAGAACAGGCAGAGGAATATGAATTATGGATCTCCAAATAGCTTGGTTTACTTAAGCTGAGATCTATTCTTCAAGTCTCTGTCACATAAATTTCATGCCCAATTTTGCCCAAGCACACCCCATCAACAACAGAGAAGGGTATTAGAGGTCTTTGATCTTCTTGAAGACTTTTTCTTTTTTTCTCCCAAAATTGTTTAGGTGTCTGGTTATGCAGACAAGATCTCCTTCTGTAAGCTTTCAAAAATGCCTGCCTCTTCCTGCTGACTGCACAGAAGTACTGGACCCTTGCTTTGGGAGTTCCAGTTATATGGAAAACATCCACTTGAAGACATCAGGTATATTAATGTCTTCATTAATATACATTAATATAACTCTAGCCTCAATTCTTGTTAAGATTCCTTCATGGGAAATAATGTTTGTCATACGAACTGGACTAGTCAGGTTGAGACATCACATTCCCTGCCTTTGTAAAAGAAAAGACCGCAGTCAGTTATGAAAGAAAAATCAATGGTCTCACATTCTGGCTACTCAACAACCTCAGTACTTAGCATCATACAAGGCCAAAATAGTCAATGAAAAGTGTAGTTAAGTGATCCAACTAACTTTTAAATCAACTTGAACTTCAAAGGAAAATAATAGTATCAGTATCAACAATAACAATAAAAACAATGACAATGATATTCATATGGAAAACCAGAATCATTTCATGTTTCAAACAGCACGAATTATATATATGATATATTTCATGGTCTATATCTGTAGTGTCTGGAGAAATCTTAGAATAGCTAAGTACAATTACTCAATTTAAGGGAAGACTCTACCTAGTTGAAATACATGAACAATATAATTAAACAGGATTATTTTCTTCTCTTAAGCTTCAGCTTATTTTCCTTTTAAGATATCCATATCAAAATTCCAAAGGTTAGGGCTACTGTCATGGTTTCCTGATTTTATCTTTTATGGACCAATTAAAAACAAAATACCTTAGCATTACTTTTAAATAATTGCACAAATATTTTCTTAAATTTAGCAACAGAAAAGAAATTAAAATCTCCAAATAACTGTAAGCTTATAAGTTCTCTGCTAGCAGAGTGAAAGAAAACCTCCCAGGAGTACAAAATTAAATAACACAGAAGTGTAGGACAGATAAGGTATCACATTAAAGGGTAGCTGGAAATTCATTTCTGATTAAAACAAAACATTAGAAACCACAAAGATATTTTTCAGATCAGAAGCAAAGTAAGTTCTAAAAGTAACTTTTTCCTTCCTCCAATCATACATTTTTACTGTAAGAAGAGTGGAAAGAAAAAAAAATTTCAAAAAATATAGATGATTTTGATACATAAATTGATTGGTGGATGCTATATATACCAATCAATTAAGTATAATGTATATAATGTACACATATATATGTATATGTGTGTAAATATATGTATATATGTGTATATGTGTGTATATATATGTATATATACACAATTATGGTATATATAGTGGTATATTACCTAGACACAGTTCTGTGAGTTTCATTTCAGCTGCCATCATAAATTAACAATACTGGTTATGAGCCAGTATTTCCCTTATTCTTCTGTACGTAACTTTCTCTATCCACTTTTGTTCCTACACTAACACTTAGAATATAAACCCCTTGGTGAAGTGATAGCTCAAAGACAAAACACTGAGTTCTGATTGCAAATAAACTCTTTTATTAGGTTAGAGGTTTTCCAATAATCATTTCTAATGAAGCTACTAAACCTGGGATGATACAAAGCTTTTCCAAAGAATGGAAATTACTACACACCATCACAACACACACAGAAATGAGAACATGAGATACCTAAGTAAGATACAATCCTATTGGTCTTATTTCATCTGTTTGCAAGGCTTCAGAAAAATTTCTATGGAATGGATAACTTAATTTTCTAGAAAATATCAAATATGGTATTACACAATATAAATTGGTAAAGAGCCATTGCTCCTGGTTAATATTGTAACATATCTGATATTTAATAACATATCTGAATTGAACATTAATGTGGTAAAAATCCTCTTCATAAAGGCTCCACTAAAGCATTTTATAAGTTGCCACATGGAAATTGATTAGCTCAGCCAGAGAAATTAGATAATTATTAATAAGAAAAAAATGGTCTGATAAATAAAGAACTTGTGGTAGGAAGTTACTGATGTAGTTCTTCAAGAAATAATGTCATATCTCATATCATATCATGTACTCCTCAGTAGTCTTGGCAAAAACACAGCACTCTGCAGCAAAATTTAGAAATTATATAAAATTAAGAAACATCAGTAATAAATCTGAAGACTTGCAAATCCACAGGAAGAATCAAAGCACTTTGAAAAACAGAGTTATAAATAGTAAGAGGAAAATGATATAAACTGGACATAAATAAATATAGATCATAAATAAAAATAAAAATAAAAATAAAATAAAAATAAAAATAAAAATGAAATATCAGAGTAGTAAGATTCTGGTATTAAAGACCATCCTACAGAAATCGTATAAAGTATCCCACAATATCCCTTCCAAAAGAGTTGGACTGGGTTATTAAAGGAATAACTGTTGTATGAGGTATTTGTTTGTGATAGCAGGGAGTGAGACCAATTGACCAGTCTGATTCCTCCCAGCTCCACATCCCCAAGATAGTCACGCTCGTGCCAGCAGCAAGCACTTGAGTGTCCCATTGAGGTCAATGGCTTTCAGCAGCCCTGGGGATTTCACTGGAACCTCTCATGTGCTTGACGCTGCACACGTGCTTCAGCACTTCTCTATCAGTACAGTCTCTGGTACGAGAAACCCCAAAGTGTTTCATTAGTGGTACATGCAGCACCAGCAGGATGTGTCCGTATCTGGAGTGACGGACATCAGCTGATCAGTGTGTCTTGTATCACTCACTCACTGAATTTAAGTCCTGTGAAGAAAGACATTGTTTCCTTCTTACGTTGAAGGAATAAGAGGTGAATGGAAGCACTTAGAGAAAAATACATTGATTTTAATCAGCTACTTGATACAGCAAGTCTGCTTTCTTCCCTTACTTTATTCTATGTTGTCGTACATTTTTGTTGTACTGATGCTTCATAGAAG